TTGAACATCGAATTCGCAGGTTCGATCCCTGCTGAAGTCTAGAAAAAAAAAAAAAAGAAGTCTGATGAGGAGATGTGGTGATCTCCGAAATAGTGCTATAACTTCTACCGCTTAGACTTTGTTGCTTTTTCAATTTTTCCTAATAAACAATCGTGGTACAAAGCTCAATAAAAATATTAAAAATAAAAAGTTTGTAATTTTGATGAAAACGTACTAGCGCAAAAGAGAAGGCACAAGTTGTCCCTTCTTATTATTTACGTTCTTTGATGAAACTTTGTTGATTTGCTTTTAATTTTTGTACAAAGTTTTAAACTTGGATTAACAAGGTTTTTGTTAAGGAATGAACTATATTATTTATAAAAAAGTGAATAAAACTAATTTGAAAATAAAAACCAAAGTAAAAATCCGAAACTTATCCATATTGGGTGACCTATACACTCATATGACTGAAAAAATTATAACCAATACTGTTCCTTGGTAATGTGCCACAAATATTAATTAATAATTATTTTTTATTCTTACTAAATAACTTAAATATATACGTTTTCTATACCTGCAACTTCATTGGCTTTTTATGTGATTTCGACACACAATGTTTTAAACCATGATAAGACGTAATCATACGACCTTTTACAACAAAAAAGGGAAGTATCTCTCGAAAGAGAAGATGAAAACAATTCAAGTAAGTACTCGATACTTTGCCGATACTGAGTAGGTATCGATACTTTCAGTCTTTTGAGTACAAGTACTCATTAGAGTGATACCTTAGTGGTATCGATTGAACCCTAGTATGAATGTTAATATCTTCGTAAACATTAACAGACTCTAAATGACGTTTTTAAATAAGTACATAGGTACACAGTTTCCAATTTCTTTGCAAGAATCCATGAAATACTTAATCAGCGTGAACAACCACATTGTATATATTTTAAGATTAAGATTAAAAAAATAAAAATTGGGCTCATTGAACTATATCGTCGCTCAGCGCGAAATACCTCGTATACTTCAAAGGTAGTACCGCGTATACGGTGATAAATAAATTTTACAAAAGCGCAAAAAACCAGTTTTTTCAAAACTGTGGAATGGTATTTTCACTGCATGATTCAATGGGTTATATGAATAAAAACTAAGCAATTGCTTTTTCTTAAAATTGCATACCTTTTACGTCAATTTTGTTTGAATAAATCGAGCAAAAGGTCTGAAATTTTAAGAGAAAGCAATTGCTTATTTTTTTATTCATATGGCCCAATAATAAAAGGTTTGCTCAAAAAACAGTTTTCTCGCTCCCTCTTGACAAAATCGGCTCCCTTAGCAAGGCACTGTGTGTGGGTACGTGTGTGTGTGCAAAGCTTTTGTAAGGGAGCTAACTTTAATGTCACTAAAGAGCAAACCTTTAATTATTGAATCCTGTTTTCACTGAACCTACTTGCTGTAAGATTATTATTATTAATCATAACTTAAATTAATAAAGTAAGCAGTAATGGAAAAAGAATAACCAAATCCCTTTTTTTATTGTACATTCATGAAGTGGTATTGGATTCCGCATATACGAGGTATTTATATATGTACTATCTAAGTATGTATTCATTTGAAGTAGTCTTTAGCCGACCATGTATATCATGTCCCTGTGGGAAAATCTCTAGTTCTGAACTGGTGCGCTTCTAGTACATTTAGACCCAGTACTGGTTCGCGATAAACCTCTTTTGCATGCAAGCAACTGGCGAATTTAACATGGCGATGTCCTAGGAAGTGTCAATTGCCCCCCGCTGCATCCCTTTTTCGATAGTTCCGAACTAGTCCTAAATTCTATAGTTCCGAACCAGTTCTAAAATCGACAGACGAAAGAAAAAAGTATCATGATTTTTCAATCTTTTTGGTTCTTCCGTCTGTGCGATTTTAAGTTATTTTGGAAGAAATGTGTTTTCAGTTTGAAAGTAAATTTGTATGAATAATTGTAATAAATGTACGTTTACATACCTTTAGCTGTAGCTGAGTTTGCAGAGGTGCTCGCTGTTATTGTCCCAAGATGTTGAAATGTTAGCACAAAAAAATTAAATTTTTTAAAAGTACCACTTTAGGCCGATTTTGGACTGGTGGGGATCTAGTTCTTATCGGACTAGTTCGTTTTTGGCGATAAAGACCTAGTACGGAACTAGAAATTTGATTCACCAGTCCCCGGTTTCCCTACAGGGGTATTATAAAACAAATCCATACATATGTAAGTAATATTAATACATTCATTCTAAATATTCTTATTGGTTTCACTGCTGGGGCTGCCACTGCTGCTGCTTACACTCTTCAACCTCGACAGGTGTAGCTTGCCAATGTCAATTAAAAACTACAGTAAATATTAAAAAATAACCAAAACGGGAAACTTCACAGGCAAGAAAAAAATAACCAAAATTGGTTAAAAGTAACCAAAACGGCAACACTGGGTATAACATACAATAACTCTAAATTGGTAAATTTGCACATTCATGCTTCTGGCATAAAGGTGACGATATGTATTTGCTTCAAATTTATTAATTTTTTATATTTACGCCTGTTCTACATATTTTTTTAGTAAGATAATAGTAGTCACACTGAAAATAAAATTTCGTAAAAATGCTACGAAAAACTTTCGTAGTCTAGGTTTTTGTACAACGTACGAAACTTCCGTTCATAATACGAAGACATTTTTCACAACGAAACAAGATTTTACGAACCATTCGTAAATATAACGAAAGGAGTTTCGTAAGGCATTTTTTCAGTACAATTTATGAAAACTTTCGTTTAATTTACAAAACACATGCGTAAATTACCGAAAAGATCTCTGTACCAATAATTTTGTATATTGTACGAAGGCATACGAAATCTACAAATCTGTATTCGTTTTATTTCTAAAATACTTTCGTACATAGTACTAATGTAGAAACATGTTTTTTTTTAAATTCGTACAATAAACGAATATTTTAATGCAATATATGTACTAAATTGCCGGCAGTTTACTATTTGATCATCATTGCGAAATTACCTGTTGGCTGGTGTGAGACGTATAATATTAATTTAAACGTTTTATAAAGGAATTTGCTGGATAAAAAATACAATAAAAAATTACATATCAATTTGTGATTTGATTTTTATGATTGCTCGTGGAGCTATCGATGAATCGTAAACATTGCTACCTGTGATTACTAGCTGGCAAACAGCGTTGCCACAGACAATTTTTTCCCCTACCAAAACTTCCTACCCAAATCCACCAAAACCTACCAACAATTTTGTTTGAATTTTTTGATATTTTTGTTCAATGTCAAGTTTATTAAAAATGTAGATAACTTAATATTTGGTAAAACTAAAACACAGCTAGTACAACCAAAACAAATTAACTGCGTATAACAATGCATTTCACTATACAGATTTATGCGTCCTAAGAAAATCTATTGTTCTAAACCCTAATTGTAGTATCTCCAACCTTAGGCTATTCGGACGGTGCCATATTCTAAATTTTAGATGGGGAAGGCAATCGTTCTCCAAAGTGTATAGGTTACCCCTAAAGCCCATCTCTACAGAAAGCCCTATTTGATTCAAATGGTACCATAACTTGCAGTGTGCTGTTAAGTAGCCAGTAAGAGTTCTAAGTTCAAGGAGTCTTTCGGAGTTCCTCCTGGGAGGAGTTATAAATCTCTTTGATTGTTATCTTTTCCTTCCGCCAAAGGGGCAGCAATTTGAGATTCTTTCCAGCTCCTAAGTAGTTCTGCAGTGTATCCTTTAGATATACCGCAAAATGGCTCGGGACCATGCAAGCCCATTTCGGCTCCACGCTTTGCGATACAGCCAGCTCTTTCATTGCCTTCAAACCCTTCTGAAACGGAGAAACTAAATTTCCATTTTCTATAGAAAAAAGCAATACAAAACATAAAAAAGGGGTACAATTTTTGTTTTAATATTTTGTGCAATTTATTCTTACAAATTACCATTAATTAGGTACAAACAACAAAGATATCATAGAAATCTTTTTCAAAGCAACAATAAATGTTAAAAATAAATAACTATAGGGTTGGTCGAAAGAATGGCCTCTTAGTCACCAGTTCCGAGTCTTTTCGATTCCTGAGAATGAGGCCTTATGTTGGACAAAAGACCGAGTATAAAGGAGCCAAATGGGGGAAATTAGCCTATGGTTACAGAAGATATGTAATAAAGTAACCGACGAAGACTTGCGTGCCGCTTGCGCTTTTCTCTCAAAGTGTTTACCGCTGGTAAACCCAAATGAAGGTTAAAATTGCAAAACCGGTTAATAAAATTTAAGTAAAATCTGTGAATAATTAACAATAAACTACTCTTTTCGCAAAATATATAAAGGTCCCTTTTATTTTTCAAAAAAACCTGTGCATCAGTTATTATTTTACACCCTGTGTATGATAAAATATTAATAGCTGGAAAAAGGAGTTGTTATAATTGAAGTTCACTCTTCAAGTTCTTTTCACACACTGCTTATAGTTTTATTATTCATTTCGTGTTTTCTTGACAATTGCTTAATTCTAAATATATATCTACTTTTACATATGTACATACATACATACAGATGTATGTATGCGTTGTTACTCTTGTGTTGTTACTCATTTGCTTAACCCTAATGTGAATATATATCATCTCTCCGCCCTCTAATTCATTGATTAAGGTAAAATATTTAATAATATTTCGAAAGATAATTGCAATACATTTCAAATTAACCTTATACATACATATCCAGTAATATGTTAAAAATTCATAAGTATCTTTTCCTTTTACGCTTGAAAATAATCTGGTCGTTTTTTTTCTCTGGTTGATCTTCGCAACGAAGTATTTTCTGCTTGCCCTCCTTCTTTCGTATTCGTAGCGCTGTTTCCCACTGGTAGTCTGGCGGCGAGAGTTTCTTTAACCAAGACGTTCTCCGTCTGCTTCTCAATTTGTTTTTCGACTTCTGGTTGCTGCACATGAACTGCGGAATGCACCGGTTGAACTAAATGGTCACTTGTTTGTTTTACTGCATTTTCTCCCACGTCACGCATTTGTTCAACATGCCTTTTCCAGATTCGCCCATCTTCCAGTGTGATGTTGTAGTGCAGATTGCCTAGAATGGCCGTGATGGTTCCGAAACGCCATTTTTCGGGCGACTGGTAGTCTCGAACTGCTACCTTCTCTCCCACTGTAAATTTGTTTATCTTTGCCGGTATAAGAGGTTGTTTTACTTTATTGCTAGGCAACAAAAAATCTAAACGTGATTTTATTTGTCTTCCGAACATCAACATCGAGGGCGATTTGTTTGTGGCTGGGTGTATTGCTCTTCGGTAGGCGAGCAAAATTTGCGGTAATTCTTTGCTTACGGTTTGATTTGTACAATTTGCAGATTTTAGTTTGTTTTTGATGGTTTGTACAAATCTCTCTGCTAACCCGTTGGTTGCGGGGTGATACGGAGCACCTTGCTTATGCTGCACTCCATTACGTTTTAAAAAAGTTTTAAATTCTTCCGAATTAAATTGGGTTCCGTGGTCGCTGACTAAAATATTGGGAATGCCGAACGTTGCGAATATTTCTTGGCAAGTTTGAACGGTAGTATCTGCTGAAATGTTAGGTATCACCCGCACTTCTGGCCACTTACTGTAAGCATCCACCATTACAAACAAGTACTTTCCCAGAAATGGTCCTGCGAAGTCAACATGGACTCGCTCAAAAACATGACTTGCATGCTGCCAGCAATGAGCCGGATAAACTTTTTTTGCATTAGACTTAAACGACTGACATTGCCTGCAATTAGATACAATATTTTCTACGTCTTTATCAATGCCTGGCCACCAACAATATGATCTGGCCAAACTCTTCATTCTAGAAATCCCAAAATGGGCAGAGTGCAATTCCTGCAACACTCTTCCCCGCAATGGCTTCGGTATATACACTCTTATTCCCCGCAACAAACAACCGCTTTGTAACGCAAACTCTGCTTGTGGTATACCGAAACGATCATTACCTTCACATTCTCGTCCGTACTTAAGGCACTCTCTCAACATGTTTGTCTCCTCGTCTTTACGACATGCTTCACTTAATTCGTCAGCGGTAACTGGCAAATTTTCTATCGCCGAGATCTCTAGAACGTCCGCCTCTTCAATTTGGTTATACATCGCCTTAGTTGGAAGTCGCGACATGGCATCGGCGTTAGCATTTTCCTTAGATTTTTTTAAACAGATATCATAATTAAAATGCGATAGATAAATTGCATAATGCCGCATTCTGGTGGCGGAAAGAATGGGTATGCCCTTTTTTGGCGAAAATATATGGGAAATTGCTTTGTTGTCCGTTACCAAAACAAATTTTTTGCCAAATAAATATTGGTAAAATTTACGAACTCCAAAAATGATGGCATATGCCTCTTTGTCAACCTGACTGTATCGTTGCTGGACCTTGTTCAAGGTTTGTGACGCAAACTGCAATGGTCTTTCAGATCCGTCTTCATTAAGCTGACTTAACACCGCCCCCACTCCTATCGGACTTGCGTCTACAGCCAATATCAGTGTCTTCTTTGGGTCATAGTGTGTGAGAACGGAATCTGATTGCAGCTGCTTTTTTACTTCCAGGAACGCTTTTTCACAGTCTTTGTCGAAATTAAATTTAATCTCCTTTTGTAACAGACGATTAAGTGGAAAAACCAGACTGCTCAAATTTTTAACAAATCGACCATAATAGTTGATGAGACCCAAAAAGGACCGCACTTCGTCTCGATTGGTAGGCTTCTTCATATTATGAATCGCCTGTATTTTACTTTTCTTTGGGCGGATGCCATTTTTATCAATAATATAACCACAATAATCAATTTTATCTTTCAAGAACTCCGACTTCTTTAGATTAACTCTCATGTTTTGTTCACTCAGTCGACGCAATACTTCTTCAATGCGTTGAATATGCAAGGCATCATTACTAGCCGTAATTTTAATATCGTCTAGGAAAACTGAAACACCTTCTATATCACCCAGAAGCTGCTCCATCCACCGCTGCCATTTTGCCGGCGCACAGGCTACGCCAAACATCAACCGGGTAGGGGTATAAAGCCCTTTATATGTGCTAAGTGTCAAGATGTGTCTGTCCTTGGGACAGACTTCGAGTTGCAGATATGCTTTGGACAAATCTATCTTCGTGAACTTGGTGCCGCCAGCCATTCTGCTGAACAGTTCATCAATTGTTGGTAAGGGGTGCTCATCGACTACTAAACACGGATTGACGGTGACCTTGTAGTCACCACATATGCGTACCGATCCGTCCGCTTTCGGCACTACCACAATTGGAGTCGCCCATTCACTTCTGTCTACTTTTACTAAAAGCCCTTCTGCTACTTGGTTTTCTAACTCCTGTTCCACTTTCTCCCACAATGGGAAAGGAACGCGCCTGGCTTTTACGAATTTCGGGCTAGCATTGGGTTTCAAATACAACTGTGCTTGGAACCCCGTAATTTTACCCGCCGTTGATGCGAACACCCGTGGAAACTTCTTCAACAATGTTTCGCTATTGAAATCGACAACCTCACTTTGATCTAGTATGTGGTTGATGTACAATCTTTCATTTAATAATTTATGCCAATTCAATTTAATTTTGCGCAGCCATTCTCTGCCCAGTAATGGTGGTCTATCAGTGCGAACGACATACATTTTAAGCGGCAATATTTTCCCTTCATGCCGCACTTCTACCCACATTAAACCAATACAATCTAAACGTGTTCTGCAATAACTATATAATTTTATATCACTTTCAATAACCTTCAGTTTTGGCAAAAATCTATTCGCATCTTTCTCACTAATGATCGTCACTGGAGCGCCAGTATCAACTTCCAACTTAATGTTGTTGTTGTTAATTTCCAATACACAATATAGCTTCTCGCGGTCGTTTTTGCTTCCTTCTATGTGAAATAACTCGTCTATTTCTTTATCTTTACCTTCATCGATGTTATTTACTTGCCTGTTCGCTTTAAAACACACGCTTTGCAAATGACCTTTTTTCTTGCAAAGGTTACACGTTTTGTCTTTGTGCCTACATTTATTCGCCCAGTGGTCTCCGCTACCACAGCGAAAACATTTCATCTTCCTATCCCTTTCCTTTCTTGTGGCGTGAGCAGCTGTAGCCGAACGTGTTTTTTTTGTTTTCCATTCTTCATCTTTATTCCTTACGCCTTGTAATTTGTTACCAGCGCCTTTTTTCCTCATTTTCTACCTGCTTGTGTAGCTCGATTCCCCCTCTTTCGGCAATTTCGTACGAATTAGCTATGTTTGTTGCCTCAAAACTAAGAAAGGAGTACATTTCCAGATATTTTTTTTTTTGGGAGTACAGGGGAGTACATTGCAATAAAAAGGAGTACGTTTACTCCCAAAAGCAGTACGTCTGGCAACCCTACACGGAACCATCCTCATCGTTACGGTATTGTGCGCTCCCAGTGGGTTCAAGAGCCGTTTTAAAGGAGTTTAAGGCCTTTAACACTGCTGGACTATCCGATACAATATTTATTCTGGCCCCATTTGTCCTTCTACGAAGACATTCGCGAACCCAGACTTCGATTGCAAAGACCTGCTCCTGGAATACGCCATAAAGTATATACATATTTGACGTCAATGTCTCGTACTCGTGTAAAACTATGTTCCCATTGGCGTAATTTAGAGGTCAATCTTAATTTACGCATAAATTAAGTACAACCTAAGTAATTTCGCCTTGTAAAGTCTCTCAGTAAATTAAGTTGAAAGTACGTAGTTTATATTAAACCAAGAACCAAATCACGAACAAATCAGTGTCGGCTCTAATTTTATCGATAATAATCGAAAAAAGTATTGTCCCATAACTGATATCTCATTGTGTTTGGACGTTTCTAAACTGATCTAAAATGTAAAAAATTACCACAAACAACTCAGAATATAAAAATAAACGCAATTACTCACATTCGCGATCTCTTTTGGTTAAATAAACAATAACACAGGGTTGCTACAAAGCTGTCAAGCCAAATAAAGAATCGCGTGTATGAACGCACTTAATTTAGTGAGGTATTTTAAACGAAACTAAGTATTTTATGTTGGTAATGTGAACATAGTTTAAACGAGGAGGTATGTACATATTTTCTATTTTTCGCTAATAACTATTACTCATTGTCACGGAACCAATGAACGTAGATAAAATAAGAAGGGACAACTCGTTACAATTGCATCGAAAGTGAGTAACAGGGGTGTGCCTTCTCTTTTCATCCAAACAAAAAACGCACGAGGGCAAAAGAGAAGGCTGTTACTCACTTTTGCAATTATAACGAGTTTCCCTTCATAAGGCCTGTATGCAGTTCTCAAGAAAAACTGAAATTACATACAAACAGACCTTCAAGAAATGGCTAAGAAATTTTATTGATTCAAATTTCCTTCAGGCAGTACGCAGTCCTTAAGAAATTTGCTACGCTTTTTACTACGGTTTTCTGAAGTTTTTTTGTGAAAAAAAAGCACAAGGCAACCCAGGTTTGCAACTGAAATATATGCCCGTTCAATTATTTCTTGAGGAAAGAGTGAGTCAACAGGCTGTGAAGTATCAAAAATGTCAAAATTCCTTGGACACACACACGAAATAATGGCAAATTTTTCTTGACCGATTTCTTAAGAGCTGCATACCAGCCTTTGTTATCTACGTTCTTTGACGGAACCTACCAAAATCCTACTTAGCCTCCCAACCTACCAAATAGAAAAAACCTACCAGTTTTTGGTGGGAAAAATCCATGTGTGGCAACACTGCTGGCAAAGGTGAGTGAGTGAATTTTAGTTTTTGTGCCTTTTATTGGTGTTGTTTTATTGTTGCATACAGTGTTGCCGTGACGTCATGAAAAAATGTATCCTAAAAAACAAAAAATGGATCAATTGATCACAAAATTTTTAATTAAGTATCAAAGTATCGAGTTAGAAAAACTTAAAAAATGCTATTTAGTTTCATACCTTCGCTTTTTATTATTGTCAATAACCGAAAAATCATGTAATTCGCTTTCATGCACGTACATATGTAAGTATATACACGAAGAAAAATATTCAAAAAAGAGATTATTGTTTTTTATCTTGTATAGAGACGAACAAACATATTATGTATATATTTTATTGAAACTTTAATTCAAATATATGTACATACTTAAAACTATTAGCTGTCGATCATTTACGTTAATTATCAAATTATGTGATACATCCATGATTCCATTATGAAAGGTTTTGTAAGAAAAACTTTCGCTCGCTCTAATTTTATCAATGACATCCCTACTTTCCAAATTTCTTTGCAAGTTTAAAGAACATTTTTAAATTTTTGGTAGTGAAATTATTTCTTTTTAAATTTGAAGAAATGTTTGTTCTTCATTCGCTAGCGACAAGACAAAATGGGTGATAATCGCTGCACTACACTGAGAAAAAGGATTACTTTCGACAACTAAAGATATTTAGTTCCCGAATTTTGACAATATTTGGGAACTATGACCAAGGATTGGGAATTATTACCATGGGTTGGTAATTATAATTAAATATATTAAAGCTTTTAATATTAATCTAGGTTGTACCAAATCGTTAATTTAGTTGAAGGGTTTGGTAAATACTAATAAATATTTTTTTGAAGCATATTTCTACAAATTCCATTCAACTTAACGTATGGTTCATAAAAGGATGTCATTAAACTCTGCTTCTTAGGGTTGACAGATAGTTGACAGGGTGTTCAATATGGCGATGACAGTGTGAACAATATGGCATACAACACCGAATAGCCCGAAGTTGCAAAACCACGACCCGAATGAAACGCTTCGTGAAAATCCAGGGTTGCGAAGTGGTATTTTGTTGGAAAATATAAAAGCCAGGATTTGGTGCAGCGCCGAATTATAACAAAAGAGGGTTTTGTGAGCTCAAGATGAACAGAAAAGGGTTGCTGTGCTGTTTCGTTTTAAGCTTGTTTTAATCTTAACATATCTAATTAAATATTAAAAGGAGACAAAAATTAAAGCACAAATTTAAAATTCATGTACATATCTGAAAATTTTAAATAAAATATATATTTTCACGAGAGACAAAGTAAATAAAATGGGTTAACTTTAGGGGAAATATACTTATCAGATTGCGTCGGATAGCGCTTTTACGTTATAAATACAAATAATTCCTAATTAAATTTTATATAATTTTGGTGACGTATTTCTAAGCTGACCCTGAGATCTGTGAAATAATACATATTTATGTGCATATATTGTGTTGATTATGCTCCAGATTACTAAATAATTCTTGCAGCAATCAGCACCATTGGAAATTTTCGGAAAGTAGACATAAACTAAATTAAATTTATTCAATTATTAATAAAAGAAATTGGAGACAAATGTACAATTGCGACGATGTTTTCCGCATCCGCAAACGAATGTTTGTTTGATGAATTCAGTTATTGGCCTGGCGTCTAATGAAGCATTATCGTCATGATTAATGTTCAATCTCCTTTTTTATACCCGAGCGCACTTGTGCACAAGGGTATTATAACTTTGTTCACATAACGGTTGTTTGTAACAGGCAAAACGAATCGAGATAGATATAGACAAATGTATACATAAATGATCAGAATGAAAAGAGAAATCGATTAAGCGGTGACTGTCTGTCCGTCCGTCCGTCTGTCCGTCCGTCTGTGCACACGATAACTCGAGTAAAAATTAAGATATCTTAACGAAACTTGGTACGTGTACTTCTTTCGGGCGTAGGACGGATGGTATTGAAAATTTTTAAAATCGGACAATAACCACGCCCACTTCCCATATAACGGTAATTTCGAGAAATACGAAATCCTCGATAAATCAGTAAATATTAAAGCTAATTTATTCAAAATGATGGTTGCAACAATTCTTTACCAGGAAATACGTTTATGATAAAATTTTGGAAAATGGGCGTGGCACCGCCCTCTTATGATCACGTATATGTATCTCGCTAACCGTTCTAGCAATTTGTACCAAACTCGGTATGGTTATTGTGCTTGCCACATAAAAGTAAACTATTGAAAATTGTTGAAATCGGACTAAAATTACGGCCGCTTTTCATATAACGGTAAATTTCAGAAATGCTTGAAATTTCAATATTTTGAAATTTAAGGACGCTAGTTTACTTAAAATTTATACACGCCGGCTTATCATGTAGCGGTAGCTTTCGGAAAGGTGGAAAACATATATTTAATACTTGCGCCGGGTATTTAATTTTCGGCTCCGCCCGAACTTAGACTTTCTTACTTGTTATTAACTAAATCGGTTTCTTAAACAAATTTCTATTCAAATATTTTTCGTTTTTCAATTTACTCCACCGCATGGCCGGGGAGCCATTTCGAGACAGAACATAAGTATATAAAATAATTCAAAAATAAGCGATTGCTTTTTCTTAAAATTTCAGACCTTTTATTATATTTGATTGAACAAATCGAATAAAAGGTCTGAAATTTTAAGAAAAAGCAATTGCTTATTTATTATTCCTAAGGCTCATTGTTGTGTTCTGCTGTATTTTTTGAAAGCTTTGAAAATCTTCAAAAATATGTGATACATTTTTAAAATGAAAATATTTCCACTGTCTAAATTAAAGTGAAATTAAAAAAATGTATTTTTATAAAACAACAAGTAATTTTTAGCAAAAAAAAAACCGACTTAAAAAGAAATATATATATATATCTATATATTTCATGATCCAATGATCGGATCTAAACCAAATTAGTATGGGACCACTACCTTTCCGTTGCAAAAAGAATTATCGAAATCGGTTGACGTGGTCCAAAGTTATGCGGTAACATACATAAAAAAAAAAAAAAAAAAAAGATTCCGACGAACTGATTGATAACCTCCTCCTTTTTTGGAAGTCGGTTAAAAATTTAAGGTATAGTAACTCTTTGCGCATAGTAATTGTTACCATTTCAACAGTTAAATAAAATGTCTAATGTACATATGTTGTTAAGAATCAAAAGGCTCTATTACCTTGTTTATACCGACACATAAGGCGCTTTCACCCAGTTCGCTGTGACTCAAAACGGATGCATAAACTAAATATCAAAACGCGTTGAAATTGAAAAGTCTGTTGACTTCTATTTGTTTTCAAATCGGTTTTTTGTTTCTCACATCAGTTAGAAAACAAGTATAAACGCATCACTCATTTGAAGTGAAGTGACAATAGGCTGGTTTTCTTTATACAGACCGTTTTAAATTCGAATT